TAAGTTATTCTTGTTTAAAATTTTAAAAAAACTTACTAAAAAAAATTTGCTTGGTTTCTATTGACCCAACCCCATATATTGTACTGCTTAATTCGTGAAGCTTAATGTTGCTTTTTTCTGTTTATTTTATTTGTAGGTTTTTACAGACTGTTTCCGAAAGTTATATACGTTCTTTAAATGATGTTTGATTTAATAGAAGTCGTTTTAGATATACGATAATATAGCTTTGTCAATTATATGAAATTTTAAAAAAATATTAATAAAGGACGTGTAACTTTTGTTACCAGAAACTTTTTAATTAAGTTCTTGCATTTGTAAGTTGTATTATAATTTGGATGAATAGTTTTTATTCTTTACAACGCGAAGTTATTAATATAATAAAGATTGGTTGGGTTGTTTAATTATTATCTATTTGTTTTTACAAAACGCGTGTCCCATGCTATTGCAGTATCGTTTACATTGTTTACATAAACCTGGTTTGTTTACTTTTTTTTTGTATTCGATATTTTTATACGTCGTTCGCTTTTTCATCACTTTGTTCCTGGTTTGTTTACTTTTTTTTTGTATTTGATATTTTTATACGTCGTTCGTCTGGTGCTTTTTCATCACTTTGTTGGATTTTTTAGTTGTTCCGTTTCATTGATTATTTTTCGTTATCTATTCGGGTGTTTCTTAATTTGCTCTGTTTTTTTGATGCGTTTTTGTCATCTATTCAGGTGTTTTTAAATGTGCTCTATGATCATGAAAAACTTTCTTTTTGTTATTTTTTCATGTGTTACGATGTAATTATGTTTATTCCAATATTCAAAATTGAAAACTCAGCGAATGAATCCCTACCAATCATGTCGAATACGGTAATTTGACAAATGACTGGCTACACGTGCTGCAAAGCGGCACATGCTCATTTGTTAAATTACCGTTATTCGACAATTCATGTGAAGGTTGATATTAACGTTCGTATGAACGTTAATATTAACATTTATATGAACGTTAATATCAACGTTTATACGAACGTTAATATCAACCTCCACATGAGTCTTACAGTGAAATGCGAATAACGGTAATTTTACAAATGAGCACGTGTAGCCAATTACCGTATTCGACAGTTTGCCAATTTATGATCATGATTGGTAAGGGAATCACTCGCTGAGTTTTTAATTTGAATTTTTCATGATCATATGAGTTTGTCGGATAAAGTATATTTAAAAACACCGCATTGAAGAAATAGAGCACATTAAAAAACACCTGAATAGATGACAAAAACGCATCAAAAAAACAGAGCAAATTAAGAAACACCCGAATAGCGATAGATAATGAAAAATAATCAATGAAACGGAACAACTAAAAAAATCCAACAAAATGATGAAAAAGCACCAGACGAACGACGTATAAAAATACCGAATACAAAACAAAAAGTAAACAAACCAGGTTTATGTAAACAATCTATCGGTAAATACAAACTTACTAATCGCCGAAGTGATCTGCAGCTCGGAGTTTCTTGACATAAGGATTCCCGAATTCGATAAATAGAAAAACCCATGAGCCGTAACACTGGTCAAATTTGCAAATCATTTGGCCAGCTTTGAAGTCAAATAATTTCAAACCAGGCCAAGTGATCTGCAAATTTGACCAGAGTTAAGGCTCGGGTTTTCCTATTTATCAAATTCCATTCATTAGGTAAAAATGGTCGGCAGATAGTCAACAGAAATCAAACAGATTAATATTTTTTCAAAAAAAATCAATACCTTAAATTTCATAGCTCATATCTCGATGACTATTTTGATGATTAATATTAAAAGAAATTAAGCTTTCTTTTGACTATTAAAAAATAAGGATTAAATTTTTTTAAAAAAATATTAATCTGCTTGATTTCTATTGACGCAGCCTAAATAATTTAATATTACTTAATGCTAACCCGTTCTGATGAATTTCGGCCCAGAATTAGTAAAAAATCTAATGGCACAAATTACTATAATGATAAATGCCAAGTAATTCCTATATTAGTCATTTATTGGTCCATTGACCCCTATAAGAGGATTATACAGTAATTATTCTACATTTAGTACAACACACAAATTTCCAAAAACTAATATTTGGATCACATGTAATAAAATCTAGAAATTATGATTGGGTTCATTTTGTTTTGAATAAAAATAATGCTAGCATTTTTAAAGAATTGTACAGAAGACATGCTTAAAAATAAATTTGTTTTTTCACAAGAATTAATCGAATGCCACAGTACCACGACCAAATTACTTGCAGAAAATTATTATTTAAACAACGTTTGTTTTAAAATTTTTTCAATGACCTTTTTCATCTAGTAATAAATGGATGGCAGAGCATTAACTGTAAAAGTAGCTCACGGCTTTGTAATTCTCGCTCTCTTAGCAGTTTTTTCTAATAATTTATATTCATTAATTAAAAATGTGAACGTAGTAACACAGTCGTTTACAGTTCAAAGAAAAACAAGTTTGGTTCCTCCAGCAATGACATTTTGTATTACAAGACAAGTAGCATATAGCTTTACTTTAGAACTTTATGGAAAAGTAGTTGCTACGGGAAGCACACCTGCAGATTATCTTAGCACTTACAATAATGAAACCGTGGAATTAACTGGTTTAACTAATGTAGTTTATAAGTGTTGGGTAAGTAAATAAATTTATTGTAATAAATACTATGTTGTCTGTCTTTCTAATCAATTAATTTTGTGGATAACAGATTATAAAATCAGCGAATGACTCTGCAGTTATTGTAAATCCATCACCAAATCCGAATGCAGATGATATGAGATTTAACTATACCCGTATATTCGACACTCCTGGACGATTTCAACCTGCTGATCCAATTGTCTTAAATGTTTTCGATCCATTAAAACAAGAAACCAATTTCGCAGTCAGAACACTTTTATTACTTGATGCAGATGCGAATCGTGCAATTAGTTTTACAAGGACCGAGTCAGTTTATTTAAATAAAACTATCACTAATGACATCACATATAATATAATAGATGAATTTAGAGATAATAATACAATGACTACGCCTAATAATGCTACTAGTTCAATTAGAATTAGTCCAGGTTTGTCTCTTTTTATTACTTCAATTTTTTCTCATTGGTTTTTTAAAGTTCTCCAATAATGTGTTCTTTCTTTTTTAATTAGCATCATTTGATGTGTCTATAGTAACTGATGTAGTGCTTATTGATCCGTGGACGGTTGTAATATTAAGTGTTACATTATTAGGAGTATTGTTTAACTTTTACTTTGTTTTGGTTGGACGAGGTAGATATAGACCATGGGGATTTATTAATTATATACTTCGATATTTTCCGATTGAACACATTAAAGAGAGAGGCGGTGAACTTTCTACTCAAGAAGAAGGTTTAAAGAGTGATACAAACATGAATTTCTCAGAAAAAGTGAATGAACCAAGTATTTCGGAAATATTGAGGATTTATTTGGATAAATCTGAACTTGCAAAATATGAAAGATAATTGTTATTCAACTAAAAATTTTATTTTAATAATACTATTCTATTAACAGTCTTTGTTTATGTATTAATAAATAAATTTTTTTAATATGTAATACAAAATTTAATATTTATGAAATTCCCAACAATCTTTGTAATTTTTCATTATCGATATATTATATTTATAAATAAATAAATAAATAGACATTAGTTTCTAATCAAGGCAGATCCCGAAAATTATTCGAATTACGTGCTTTGCGCGTACCGCATAACTAACTTACTTGCCCAAAATAATAATTTATACCCGCTATAAAACTTTATCAACATTAATAACTTCGTAAATAGCCTGTAAAAACCTACAAATAAAATAAACAAGTTGACTACTTAAACAATAATAAAAAAGAAAAAAAAGTAACATTAAGCTTCACGAATTAAACAATAATAAAAAAGAAAAAAGTAACATTAAGCTTCACGAATTAAACAGTACAATATATTTTTATTACCTCTTACTATACGGTAGACAGTACTTCAACTCTCAATAGATCTATCTTTTATTCGCGTGATGCAACTGGATTTCTTGAAGAGACACTCGCTACGAACCTATTTTACTAGTAAAGTGTTGCACCGATAATAATTACTCGTGTAACGTCAATCCCGGAAGTTATCGAATTCGCAAATCGGAAGTGACCGTAAAATTTTAGATCTAAAATTTTCACAAAAATCTAAAATTCTAAGGAATTTATCAATTTTTAACTAAAATTTTCTAAAAATTTACTTATTATATTATAGTTCGTGATACATAGGAATGGGATGCTGTGCAGATGGAACATTTTGGAATTTCGGAATATTTCTGAATTTCACAAGATTCAAAAAATCTTTGATTTGCTTATCCCTAGTGATACGTATTTTATTTTTAATAAAAATTTTATACAAACAACCTATTTAACTTCTAAGGCATACAGTATATAATTAGTTTGTATTGGATATTGATGCCGTGATCTAGAGACATAAATTTATGTGACTAAGTTCCTAATTTTATATTTAATAACAATCGGCAAAATTTAAATACTGAATTATTAAGTAATTTAACAAAATAAAAGAATGAACTATAAACTTTTTAAATTTAAATCAAAATTTACCTAAAATTTATCTAAAATTTACTAAATTTAAGCTAAAATTTGCCTAAATTTTTTATTGTTATCAGAAAAAAATTTGAGTTTTTAAAACTAAAATTTTACGGGTCCCTGTAGCTGACCTAGCTGACCGAACCCATCCCTAATTGCACCTAGTGATATGGGCTCATTAGCCAGGCGAGTCGGCCCTCGACCTGCACTTTACGGATCGGCCCGGCTGGAATATAAAATTTTTTCATCCAATAGGAATACATTGTATAACTTATGATAATTGGTTGTCGTGCAGTGATGCGGATTAGTTGTTTTAGATAAAATGCTGTAAATTTAAAAAAATTTTTTAGCACAATTGTTTTTATTCGATTATGTATTATCACGTACTGTGTATGTATTCAGGTAGAATTAGAAAATAAATGTTCATATAGTTGTTTTAATAGATTAAAATTTAAAAAATCATAATTTACACAATGAATTTTCGGTAAAATGTTACGAATCGCTTCAATTAATTTCAATTAGTCGATGGTTGTGCAACATCTTGATCACCAACAAATTACAATTACAATGAGGGGAATGCTTAAAAACAGCTATAATATAGTGAGTAAGTGAATATAATGGTTTATGGGTGAATGTTGGAATAATTGATTGTGATAATGCGGATAAGTGAATATTATAAGGGAAGTTAGTGAATGGGTAGGTCAATTGATAGTGAGTAGTGGGTAAGCAAATATAATGGATGGATAGGCAAAAATAAATAGGTTAACAAATAAAAAAATGTATATAGATAAAATGAAGCAAATAATAAAATATATAAGGCATTTAAGCGAATAAATAACAGACATTAATTAATATATTTTACCATTTTATTAATTACATTATTTGTTTTTTACTATAATTTATCAATTACATTTGTCTAGCATTATTCTTTATTCATCACAATCTATTAAATTATAGTTTCTTAGATGAAATTTTTTTTTGATAGAATAGTTGGCCCGGTCGACCGGTGGGAGAGCTTATAGGGTCTTGGACCAATTTAGCTTCGATCGTGAACAAATAATGATTAAGGTTAAATGGTTCAAATCAATAAACTAACGCACATAATTACAGTTATAGGGTTTCTCTTTATTAGCATAAATCAATACATCGGATTATACAATAATACTAAATACTAACTACAATCATTCAACAAAACGTTATTCTCTTCGCAGACTGAAACCACATCCTTATAAATTTAGCCTGGAGCTTTAAACTCCCTCCGGGATTTATCATTCCCAGACTATACCAAATAAGAAAATAAATAAAATACTAAATAAAGAAAAAGTTCCAGACATAACACCGGCCTGAGTAATTTTGGCAGCCCGGTCGACTCAGGGGTTTGGCATCAGTCCGTATCACTAGTTGCACGACTAATCTATTCTGATTTACAACATATCGAGTTACCTTAACAGTTAATACCGGACATTTGGATGTGCCTAAATACTAGTGCTTATATAATTAGTTAATTTTATGATTTTATTAATAATAAATTATTATTATTATTATACTAAATTTTAAATAAAGTTTTAGAATAAAATAAAGCTATGAAAGTTAATTTTTTTTTTTAGTTTTTATAATCTAAATCAAAATAAAAAAGTTTAAACTAAATGTTATATATATATATCATATTTGCTAATTAAAATCGGCTATATTCTATATTTTAATATACAGTACACTATATATACTTATATATAATTGAATTGCGGCATGCTGCATTGTATTGCATTGTATATACGTACGTACGTACGTATTATGTGATACCGCATTGTATACTGTATTGCCAGAGCTGAGGCTCCAGAAAGTTAATTTTATGTCAACAACTAACGCCTGTAGATCTCCCACAAAAACATTAATCAATGAATCTACCCCCTAACATGACTTAAACCTAATCTAAATAACCCTAACCCCTAACCATAACATCCCAATTGGTTAAAAATCACGAGGGGGTAAAATTTTTTGTGGGATAACTACCGTACAGTACATACGTACGTACGTACTTTCAACAACTACTTAAATCATGTGGTTTACAATACTGTGAATGTCATGTTACATTGTGCCAAATTTATACTCATAATTACGTATGTATATAACATTGAATAAAGTATTCAATTACTTTACCGACACTTAGTTAAATCATGAATAATAAACAATCTGAAAACAATTCTTTAAAACTGGAAAAATGTATAGATAATTTGAGCAATACTACATTAAACACCTTACATATAATTGTTTTGAAAGACTCGAAACCGTATAACACGATGTTATCTAGTGATAGTTGTAAAGTTTTTTCAATAAAATATAATAAAATTGTAGAAATAAGAAAATTTTCTCTTTTTCAAAAGTATACACTAGAAGATTTTATCAGCGATGTAAGTTATCTAATAATAGTACAGTACGATTTAATCATGTTTATTATTAAACGTATTTCAATATTTTATTGTTTAGCTAAAGCAATATCAAAAAGTAGAATTGCATGGAAACATTCTAAAATTTATAGCAATTATTAAGCAAAGTATAAGTGAAGTTACGTTCATTCACGAATATGCAATTGACGGAACTCTTAATCAATATTTAAACCAAAATTTCAGTAAAATTAATTGGGATAATAAATTACGTCTTGCAAAACAGCTCATTAGTGCTGTAAAATGCTATGCTTACACGACAATAATTTGGTCCATTTGAACTTGGTACTTTTTTATTTAAAATATTTTAAGAAAATCATATGATAATACTAAATTATTATTGTTAATTATTTAGAATTCTAGAAAAATATTTGTTCATAAAGATGACATTAAAATTTGTATATTTCAAAATAAAAATACAATTACAAAAAAATTCAATTATATTCAGTATATCGATCCTCAATATTTATAAAATCCCAAAACTTACAAGCTAAACAAAAGTTCAGATATATATAGTACTGGAGTTCTTCTTTGGGAAATTTCAAGTGGAATTACACCATTTAAATCCGAATCACCTTATGGTTTTAATCTATTAAATAAAATAATTAATGGCAAACGCGAAGCTGCGATATCCGGGACACCTAAAAGTTATATAAAGATCTATACAGGCAGATACAGGTAGATTCACATTTAATTTTATGTTGTTTTAATGAAATTAAAAATCTTACCAACTTATTTATTTTTATTACAGAATGTTGGCAGCACAACGTCCAACTATTCAATATATTTATGATGAATTGGATAATATTAATCATAACATAATCAGTGATGACGAAATTTTTTCAGAGAGCAATAAGAATATGGAAAATAACAATAATTTAATATCAGAAATAGAAAGTTCAGATGCTTCAGATTTACTGAAATTCTATGTTAATTTGAATGATGAAATAACGAAGGAATTAGTTAATTTCTTCAATAATTGCAACTTTTAAGGAAGACTTGAGTGGTAAAAGTACCATAATCAATGATTCGAATAATTTATCAGGTTTAACAAATTCTTTACTTAATTTAAGTATCGACATAAAATTCCCACTTTCACTAGTTAGTGCAAGTAAATGTAGTATTAATGATGAACCCGAATTTCTTTACGATTTAAATGAATTTTTTATAGCCCAGTATAATATACAGGTCACAGAAACTATAGTCTATCATGTAAAGAAATATATAGAAAATCATAACAAAAATCCGGATGAAATTCTCAAACAATATAATATTTACAAATATAGGTACTATTTTACGAGCATTATTGGATTTTTTTATGAACATGGAATTGGAACACTAATTGATTACCACAAGGCACTTGATAATTATAGACGAGCATCTAAAGACTTTTATTATACGAATTCTTCAAACAACTAGTCAATTTATTAAGAGAAAATCAGCTTATTGGGTTGATCTCTTGGGTTACTTTATAAAGATGGTAAAGGAGTTGCAGTAAATCAATCAAAAGCACTACAATTATTTTTAAAATCTATTAAAAATGATACTCAATCATTTAATTGGTGCTTAAAATTAGCGGAAAAAGGGAATGCAAAAGCGCAATATTATGTTTGATATAGTTATAGTTTTGGTGAGGGCACTTTTAAAGATGATGATGAGGCTCTAAAATGGTATATGAAATCAGCAGAAGGAGGAAGTAGCTCAGGGCAAATTCATCTTGGTCACTGTTATTATTGTGGTATAGGAACATCTATAGATGAAGAAAAAGCTTTTGAATGGTTTTCAAAATCTGCTGAAGGAGGGGATAGTTCGACACTAAATGATCTTGGCCTATGTTATCGTGATGGTATAGGAACCTTTACAGATGAAAACAAAGATTTTGAATTGTTTTTAAAATCTGCTAAAGGAGGAAATAGTTCAGGGCAAAATAATCTTGGTTTATGTTATCGTGGTGGTATAGGAACTTATATAGATGAAAACAAAGCTTTTGAATGGTTCCTAAAATCTGCTGGAGGAGGAGATAGTTCAGGACAAAATAATCTCGGTCAATGTTATCGTGATGGTTTAGGAATTTTTATAGATGAAGAAAAAGCTTTTGAATGGTTTTTAAAATCTGCTGAAGGAGGAGACAATTCAGGACAAAACAACCTTGGTCAATGTTATCGTGATAGTATAGGAATCTCTATAGATGAAAACAAAGCTTTTGAACTGTTTTTAGAATCTGCTGAAGGAGGAAATAGTTCAGGACAAAATAATCTTGGTTTATGTTATCGTGATGGTATAGGAGTTTCTATAGATGAAGAAAAGGCTTTTAATGGTTTTTAAAATCTGCTAGAAATGGAGATACATCAGGGATGGGAAATCTTAGCCAATGTTACCTATATGGCATAGGAACAAATTTCAATGATGAAAAAGCTGCAGAATGGTGGGATATAGCAACAAGTTAATGTTGACTCCTTTAAATTTAATAGGTTTTTCTTTTAAAAAAAAAACTTTTTTAAGTGTATGTTTTGAATTCCTTGGTTGTCCTTCTCCAGAGTCGCAAAGAAAAATACTAAAAGGAATCTTTGAGTACAAGAAAACCATGGCAAAAATTTGAAATAACATCAATAAAGTTTAAGCTTTCATAAAATTTTAATAATTTGGACTTAAAATTTTTTAATTTAAATTTAATTTATACATACAAGTAATAAAAAAATCTACTGTAAAAATATTCTCAATAATAAATAAATGAATAATTCAAAACTTTTACATCAAAGATTTTAATACCCAACAATTGTTCATGATAAATTTAAAAATCCATCTCGTTGATATTGACATAAATGATAATAGCAATATAATAATAGTAAGCGCTTAAAATTATTTTAAAAAAATAATATTAAATAATTAGTCGCATATTTTTTTTTTAAAAAAATATTTTTTGTAATATAATAGACTATCCAAATTAATTAATAAAAATAGAGGCAGGCCTCGTCATAGTAGAACAAAAAAAAAATAATTTTTTTTTTTGATATATTATTGATAATTCGTTAAATACTTGAAAAATTATCGATTGAAATTGCAAGATCTTCATCAGATACTGGAAAACTTATTTCTCGAGAATCTACTGATTAAAGATATTAAAGATGTTAAAGAATAGTCAAAGTTAAAGAGTTCTCAAAATGAAAAAAAGAATAATCCTGTATGCGTTTATTAATCTATTTACCTCTTTCGTAGCCATCATAAGTATTAATCGGTTTGTATGGGGTCATTTCTAGAAAATTGATTTAAATATTAATAAAGATAAATTTCCAAAGATTCTCAATACGGCGGTTTTTGGGACTTGACCTTTTTTAAATCTCCTAAATTTAACTAAATTTAGGGCTTTAAATACAAGATCAGATTTTATGAAATACGGTATCTAAATTTATAATTTGAAAAATCTTGAATCTAAAATTAAGGGGATTTAGATTCCAAAAATCCGCCATATTTATTCTATTCGAGCATAAATTACCATCTTCTCCTGAAAAAAATGAAGACCGCTCAGCATAAGTTCTAAGGCAGCTTAATCTATTCACAGGTTTTGGCAAATCCGAAAATTTCAATAATCTACTTTTATAAACAGCTTCACGATGTGGTTTTTTAAAAGGTTCGAATTCATCGGATTTTAATAATCTTTTTCTTTCGTTTTCAGCAGATATAAATTGATCAAACACATCATGTTTCTGAGAGACACCCATGTGCCATCCCCAAGACATAAAAATTTTTTCCAATTCTCTAATATCAGGTCTCCGTTTAGGGTTTGCATCCCAACATAATTCCATTAATTCCATAAAACATCGAGGAGTTTCCACAATCAATGTAGGTCGAAGACCGTTACATATTTCCCAAGCCAATTTTTCATCATGAGCGCGATCATGAAAAGGAAGTTGACCAGTTGTTATTTCCCACATCACTATACCAAAACTATATACATCAGCAGCTTCAGTGTATTCATCACCATATAAAATTTCAGGAGCAACATAAGGTAAAACACCATACACGCTATTATCATAATGAATAGATTTATCAGGAGGCCTATATTGACCTAAATCAGATATTAAAGTTCTATGTTGAGAGCCATTAAAACATCTTAATATATTACCGCTATGAAAATTTCTATGAATGAAACCAGCATTATGAATTGTCATTAAACCATGAGTTATATTATAAACCATGCCTAATTTTTTTTCCCAGGTGAGATCTTTAAAATTTTTTGAAAGATAATTGTATAAATCGCTTTCTATTAGCTCAGATACTATTATATAGTCTTTTGATTTAGGATCACGACTAAAGCCATAACAACGAGGTATGTGATCGCTTTGATTTATACAATGATATTGACGAAGCTAAAAATAAAAAAAAAGGATCAATACGGAGTGCATTTAAACAAAATTAGCATACAAATTATCAAAAAAATAAGTATAAATATACCTCTTGCCAGAAGGATGCTTCAGCATTATTTGAACCACTTAATTTTTTAAGGGCGATATGCTTTTCATTTTCCCGCACCCATTGAGATCTCGAATCGTCCCAATATAACTTTGGACCCGGGTTCCAAATGGCCTTATAAACGTTTCCAAAGCCACCTTTTCCAATTTCTTTTATATTCTCAAATTTATCATATGGAATCCATTCTAAAAACGTCAAAGGAGCGATGGAATTTAATTGAGTGTGTCGGATAAATTGATCTAATTCGGTATTACCACTTGTCCAATTATGAAAGTCTTCATTGAAACGTCGGGATTCACAAGGTTTACACCAATAACGTTGAGTATATTGATTTTTACAATTAGGACAGAACTTTGAAGGAGCTAAAATGTTGCTGGCCTCTTTACTGGATATACAACCCATTTAATAAGTACTTTCGAATTGTTAATTATATAATTAGGATGAAAAGGTATTGATACGAATTAATTAAGAATTACTAATGCAATTTAAACATTTCACCGGATACGCCACTTGTTTATTGTAATTCAGATACTGTGAAAACAATTTTACGTGATATATATATATATATATTTAAATAAAAAAAAATTCCGTTGAATTATGTGCAACTTAATAAATTATTTGTTTGGAGATCGGAGTAAATTAATAATGTATATTAAGGAAAATTAAAAAGAAACAAACAAACTTTATACTAGCCACTAGAAATAACAAAAATAACAGAAATAACAGAAATAACAAAAATTCGAAGTATACAAGTAAAACTTTTAAGCTTAATGAAAAATGGGCAAAGTATATAAATCTCCGAAAGTTCTAATTTTCAAAAATAAAAAGAAAGTATAAGCAACAGACCATCTTTTATATATGTGACACAGGCTGCACTAGTTCATTTATTGCATTCTCTAATCGATGCTGTACTGCATTTTGTACTTGATTCTTTGTTGTTACTATATTACTATAGATGTTATTATAGATGTAAGTGTGGAGCGTTGGTTATACAAAGCCTGCTGTATCAACTGCACATCATACTTGATGATATAATCCGAAAACATTTGATTTTCTTTCATAAAGAAGTTATTGTCTTCAATGAGCTTAAAAAGTAGACCTCATTTTTTCGTCACATTTATAAACTTTTTTGCTGTTTTTTTTAGCAATTATTATTGTAAATAAAAAAGTATTTTAATAATAGTCAAACTTTGGGATTAAAAATGTATCATTGCATCGTTTACTAATGCTAAATGACTCTGTCGTGACTATGAATAAATAAAACGTTATATAATCAGCAATTTTAATCTTAATGCATTACAATGATTTAAACTGTTTGTACGTACGTACGTGCGACATAAGTAGGCACAGCACATACGAACTTCGTATGTTGTACCCCGTTTTATATTTATTAATTTAGTTAGTGAGTTCGTCTTATATGAAGGCAGAATCAGAATTGCCTTTAATATAGAAATGTGTACGTACGTACATGTACCAATAATCCTGTAACTTTATCGGCGTAGACATCATAAATCACATGTTACATGATTATTCTCGAGACAAACTAGAATAATTTTGTAACAGAAATTATGCGTCACGTTCCCCACTACTACTATTGCACGTTCGCAATTGAAAAATTATAGGTCCCGTGAATTTTGTGAATTCAATTGCTGGTAACACAGATCTCTGAGACAATAATCGTCTAAATGCATAGTATACGTAGTAGATTTTGTTCCAGAATTCAATGCGCATAAAATTAATATGAACTCTAAACTTAAAATTGGTGATTCATACTAAATCTAAATAAATGGAAATACAACCTCCTATATGCCAATCTATTTCCAGTATTTTATCAATTGAAGTTACTATTTGAATCTTATTAATTTCATGTTTTTAATATTATTTGTGTCAAAAACAATGGATAATATTAGTTCGAAATTTAAAATTAACTTTACTAAATTTAAATCATCTATATAAATTTAAATTTATGCGCTTTTAATTGACTAAATATAAAACGTGACCCTAAGCAGTGTTGTACATGGAACTTAGGGGCAAAGGTTAGATATTTTTAGATCTTAATAAAAACCCGGGTTTTACTCAACATTAAAATTTAAATTTAATTATATATATATATTTATATTATTTATAACATAGATTTATAAGATAAATAAAAGTTGAAACATTACTGGAACGAAATGAGACAATAACAAAAAAGCTCAAGATAGTAAAATATACGACTCTGTCACTAAGTGTAACAATTAGCAATCTAAAACAGGGTTATTTATATGATTTTATTATTAGTTATGATTATGTTTTTTGGTGTTGTAGATAAATTAGCTTTGATATTTTTTTCGTTAGTGCCTAAACCAGATTTTTATATTTACTTACAGTCAGATCTCATTAAGTGTACTTTCATAAGTGCTTAGATTTTACTAAATACGCGGATCTCATAAAAGCTTTATGTTTTGCTTTCCATAAATGCGCACCTTCTTTAAGTGCTTTTTTTTTCTATATGTCAGAAGAGTCACCTAAAGAAATCTAACTGTATTTTTTTTGCTTTATAGGGATTAAGGGAGTCTAGAGATGTTAACAGTCCAACTCGGTCTATTTTTAGCCCAGTTCCGCCTGGTCTTTTTTTGTTTGATTACGGTTTTGTTCTAAGACGACTTATAAGACTACACCGATATAAACTTTCGGTTTGAAAAACCGCTGATTCTCACTTTCCCGAAATACCATTTCCTAGACCCCATAACTCCGATATCATTTTTCCCCGACAAGGCATATTTCTGACAGTATATTTACTGGTGGGAATTTTTTACCGAATTTTTTTTTCCCGACACAACCAATTCCCCGACAACCTGAATTTCTGGTAAATTTTATTCGGCAGACTTTTTCACCGACAAATAATGTATTTTGATATATTTCCTCGTAAGGATGTTTCTCCGAAAACTAAAAAGATATTCCTCAAAAAGAAATTTCCCAACATGTCTTCTCGATTGAACAAATTGCAAAAATCAGGAAAACTCAACATAAACCAGGCTAACTTTGTCGGTGAAATGGCTGTCAGTGAAATGGTTGTCGGCAAATTAGTTAATTCATATTTTTCGGGTTATCAGGGACCTTGAATTTATAAAAATAGCTGCAAATTCAGTAAAACATTCTTCGGTAAAAGAGCCTTCATAATATATTTTCAAAGAAATAGAATGTCTGAAAATTTTGCCATTCGGAAAAATGGCATGTCAGTAAAATAGACATTCATTTTTTTAATATTCGGTGAATGGAAATTGCAGATAAATGACTTATCAGTAAAATTTATTATCAATTAAATGATATTTCGGTAAAATGAATTATGTCTTGCTAGTAAAATGGGATGCCAATATTATGTATGGTATTTTGGGAAACCCTGAAAAACTGGTCTGAGACCGGTCTTTATAGTTAGAGTTTCTAATTATATAAACCGGTTTAAACCAGTCTTTTATTATGAATCCAAACCCAATGGTCTAAACTTTCAGTCTGTGGTTTATAATAAATGACGTCTTTTATTATGAATTCAAAATCCAACGGTTTAAACTTTCGGTCTGAATTTATAATAAATGCCCGGTCTTAGACCGGTCCATTCATTTATTATGAATTCAATTCAATGTGTTTGTAATTGGTCTTAAACCGGTTAAGAAGTTTGGTCTGGGTTATAATCTAATTTTTTTTTTTAGACTGAGGCTAGACCGAATAGGATCGGTTTTCTTAGGTTCAAATCGGTCCTATAGCGAACCATGGTCTGTCTATTGGTCCAAGACCGGACTGGATAACATCTCTATTTCAAAGGAACATCCATAAATAACGTTATCTAACCCACATAGGGCCTCGAACCCCTTCTAAATTACTAGAAACATTAAAAAAAAAAAAAAAGGAATCAAAAATGAAATTTTAGACATCATTTAATAGTTATATCGGTTTGGGGACATCTGAATCAGCAATCAAATTCGGACAAACCTTTTTATTAAAATGAATTATCTTTTAGTTTATTGTTATATAATCATCTGGTATTCAAGAATAAATCTATCTACCGTTGACCACTGTATAGTACCCAGTGTCTTATTCAAGAACTCCATTTTTAAATGAATAGTACCCGTGGATACTGTGTGAAGAACCGGTACCATATTTGGGGAAATATTATAGTTATACCCGAGTCTTATTCAAGAAACGGGATGATAGGGATGATGAATAATACCCGGGTCTTAATCATGGGGTTATTTTTAGGGGATACTGTATACAGTGGTCAACGGCAATGTAATATTCATGAATCGCTTATCTTAGATATTTAGACTAAAAAAACAAAAAAAGCTCTTTATGCTCGTCTCCTAGATTAGCACAAATAATACGAATTAGTAAACAGCATGAATTTGAATCAATTATTTTAGAATAGTAGATGCTATTTATATCTATCTAATTCGAAGAAAATAAAATTGAATAGTAAATATTCATGAACTTTGAATCGCTTATTTTTAAGACAAATGCCCTTTATGCTCATCCCGAAATTAGATCAAGTAAAATGAAATTAATTACTGAATTAGTGAACTTCATGAATTTATCTCTTATCACAGCTTAATTTATTTCGAATAAAATAAAATTTAGTAAATATTCAGAGATACTTGGGTTAAAAAATGCTTTTAATGCCCATAATTTGAATCACATATTTTAATAACTTAGAAAAAGGCGTTCGAAGTTGATTCTTCGGTTAACATCATCCCCGATAAACGAACAACCAATCAAAACGTTGGATAACTCTCGCCAATTACTTGATTTATGTCGACCAATGAAATTGGTCCGTTTTATATGTTCGTTTCTCCCCTCCCAAGAGTTCTAAAGGTGATGTTAACCGAAGAATTAACTTCAAACGGCCTAATAGATGCTCTTAATACTTATCTCTTAATTTAATTTGAATAAAGAAAATTGAATAATAAATATTTTCGATTAATAAGATAGCTGCGCGGCGTTATCGTGCAAAACCAGGAGCGGGAATGTATCTAAATATTAAGTGGTTTAAATTTTAGGTTAGAATTATAATTAGTCAAACTAGTTAGTAATAAAATGCTTAATATTGCTCATTATTATTGTACTGTATTAAAAACGCAGGTCTAATTGGTCATTGATTCTAGCGTGGACTTTCTGTAATTGTATTGTAAAGTCTTTATTAATAGGAAATATTGCATATAATAATAAACATTTTGTATGTAAAATCATGAGCTGTAATAAATTAATTAGCTAATACAAAAAAAAATTTAGAATATAGCTAATAACCTTAGAATAAAGACTTCGAAGGAGGTGTGGAAAACTTGTTCCGAGTTCAATAGTCGCGGAGACTTACTGCGGCGATAATGGTAGGGCTGTTAAAGTGGTCCTACTCAAACCGATGGATAGCCAGTCCGACCGGGCCGGTCCTGTCTTTTTTAAACGGACTGAAAAGACCATCGGTCCTAACATTAGTTATTATTAAATCGTTGTTATAGATAATCTATTTAAAAATGGTGAATCACATGATTGGACGACCTTTTAAACATTTTATATTCCCACAAAAAATTGTCCATCTCCTGTGATTTTAACCAATCAAATTTTAAGATCAGGTGTAACGTTATAGTTAAAACAAACATGGTTTGTTTTCTAAGTAAAAAGTTGCGTGTAAAGCCAAGTCGCGTTAAAGTTAGGGTTAGGGTTGAGCTATCAGTAAAATTTAACATTTTTAATTAGGCCGCAGAAGGTGGTTTCCTAATTAAAATTTAGAGCTATTCGTGGCTTCACTTCGACTTTTACGTTGCACCTGATCCCGAAATTCGAATGGTCTATACGGGAGATGAATAATTTTTTGTGGGAAGCTAGGGCGTTTTTTTAAACGCCGATAGGTCGCACAATTAAAACTCCACAGAATCGTACAAAATGACAACCATTGCAAATTCGTGCAACACATTTGCAGTACCATTTTTCCGCACAGGTTTACTGATTCTGCGATTTTTTCAATATTGATCTGCGTATTAAATTTGGACAATGTACACAATTAGGGCTGTTAATCAGTCCGCTTGTGGTCTGTCTTAGGACCGGGACAGCCTGATCCACTATAGAACGGAGCAAAAAGAGTATCGGCCCTAATATCATAAAATTATTGTAACGAGCAAATATGATTTTTTTAGTTTAGTATACAGCACAAATATAAGTAGAGCATAATACAACTTTGAGTTCAGATAAGACTAAAATTTATAATCAATATTTTTGTATATAACTTTTTGGAAAATCAAGTTATAAGAATTATTAATCAGCATAGTGCTTGGATCCGTTCAAAAAATTCAGCGGATTTTCAATTAGATATCCGTTCATATCAGATAACGAGAATATTTCTGCAGATAGCCGGATATCTATTAAACTATCCGTTACTATCCGATACTTCAATTAATAATAATGATGCATTAATATTGGCATGAATAAATGATATATTTTATACGTAACATATAACTTTGATTAGAGAATTTTTTGAATATCTATTAAACTATCTGATACTTTGATTAATAATGATGATGTATTAATATTTTTTTGCATGAATAAATTACATATTTTTATACATAACAATCAATAAAGAATTCTTTTTTTATAAATTCGTATTTTATCTTGAGTGCAAAAATTTTTTACTTAACTTATTCATAATCGTAATATTGTAATAATGGATAGTGAAAATTATTTATCTAGCGAAACTTCAAGTGAAACCTCAAGTGAAATTTCTCTGAGTTGTATGAATAATAATATTACACATGTGGTGAATGATACATATGCAGCAGATGATACGGATGCAATAGATAATACGGATGCAGCAGATAATATGGATGATACAAATACAATGGATGTGGTGGACAATAATCAATTTAAAAAAAGAGAAGGTTCAAAGAAAAGAAGTTGGGTATGGGATCATTATACAGTCTTACCTACTAAATGCGGATCAAAAGGCCAGTGTAATGAGTTGACAAAAGAAGGTATAATGTGTAATCATATTATCGAAACAGATGGTAGTACTGGAAATTTCAGTTATCATCTTCAAAGTAAACATGGAGTTACGAAGTTTGGCAAATTGATATTAGATACTTCTCATCTGTCATTTGATGAAATGTTTCGTCAACAATTTAAAAATAATGTTGAATATAAAGAGCAAGTCGATGAAATAGTGACTGAATTTCTCATATCTGATTCACAGTCATTTTCTATTTTAGAAAATTCGGCATTCATAAAACTTCTAAAAAAACTTAATCCATATTATGAAACACCTTGTGATAAAGGTATTAAAACTTTGTCTTATGATTGGATGATAGTTACTCTTAAAGATAAGATAAAGAATTCAATGAGTTATTGTGGACTAACTCTGTAGTGCACATACTTTGCAACTAGTTGTAGGAAAAGAATTATTACCAGTTAAGATCTTAGTTGCACGAGCAAAAAGATTGATACAATTTTTTACATCTCCTAAACAAAGTGAACAACTTGAGATGGCATTTAAATCGTATTGTGTGTGATAGTATTGATAATAATCATGAATATCTTAAAGTTGTAATGGATATTGCAACAAGATAGGATTCGATATATAAGGCATGGGTGAGAATTTTAAAATTAAAATCAGCAATTGAAGTAATGCAATTAACAATAAGTCACAGTAATGATACTATAGTTAGAAAAGATGCACGACGTTTTAAATGAATTATGTTAATGCCTGATGAATGGCAATTGATAGAAGATTTAATTAAAGTTTTACAACCTTTCACTGATGCTACAAAAATGCTTGATGGAAGTAAATATACTACAATGTCATATGTTTTTTCAACTATATCATCTCTTAAAAAATTGCTTAATATTACATATGATACTCAAGTTAATAAAATCTTGATAACTCTAATATAGCTTTTGATGATGATCAAGAGCTTCAAGAAGAGATTGATTTTATAGATGAACCTGAAATACTTGATGTTGAATCTGAAGCAAAAATCAACTGAATTAAAATTAATATTCCACAAGCTTGTGATGGAATGGTTAAAAATATAAAAATTGCATTATTTAATACTTTAAATTATTACTGGGAATATCCAATCTGTGAAGTTCTTCTTGCAACACTTCTTGATCCTAGAACCAAAAAAATAGAATTAGCAACTTATTCTCAATGATTTGAGGCTGAAGCTTATTTGATAACTGAATATGAAGCATTTAAAGAACAAGAACCAATACTAGCAGATATAGTACAAATGAATGATGATCCTGATGAAGAAGAAAATGTGTTATTAGCTGCAATATATGAATCTATTCAAGAATCGGATGCTGATAATGAAATTCAAGTCTATCTTGCATTACCAAGAATTCTGAGTACTCAATGTCCTTTAAAATGGTGAAATGGTCAGCAATCAAATTTTTCTATATTAAGTAAAATAGCACAAAAATACTTATGTATCCCAGCCACATCCACACCTAGCGAACGACTCTTTAGTGATGCTAGAAATCTTATGACTGCAAAACATACTTGTTTAAATGCAGATTTATTTGAACACATGCTATTTCTTAAAAGAAATGCCAATTGCACTGGTGCAATGTTTCCTTAAAATATAGTGTTATAAAATACTGTATTTATTAGCATTATTTTTCATAATTATATTACTATGTACATGTATTGATAATATTAATAAAATACATATATTCTGATTGCGGCTACTTTTTTAATAATAATTCTTATAATAAAAATTCAATTAGTTTGATAAAATTTTCTATTTAGATTGTTTGTTATAAAAAATTCAAATCGACTATATTTTTGATTAATTCAACAGATTTATCCAGATAACTTACAAACGGATATCTGAAATTTACAGATATCTAAAAAACAGACTAAATGGATAACCGTTATCCACTGGATCCAAGCTCTAAATCAGCACGAATAAGAAATCACTAACATATAGATTATTTCAATATTTTGATTAATAAATAAGATTGACTTGTTTATTGACCAAATCAACATGGACAATAAACTAATAAAGCTAATAGGAAGTGCATAAATTGTTTTCGAATACTTTGATAACAAATTATTTTATACAATACCAGACAGCATAAGACATCTGCTCGCCAATTTTGATGCTTATATAATCAATTCTGATTGGCTAATTTTGACCAATTGGTTAATTAAACATATATATTTTCTTTTTTTTTAAATTAAACGCCAATTTTTTATTAATAGCTTCTTTAAAACAGAAATTAATAAAAAAATCCTTTGACAAAAATGTAGTTTAGCTAAATATCTACCAATTTATCGAAGAGTTTTTTTTTTTTTTTTTTTAAGCAATCCTGCTTCTATTTATTTTATGAACTACTAAAAGATTATTATTACTATACAAATAACAACCAAAATAGTGTGGTATTCTATTCTAATAGAAACTCACCAAGCGTATAGAGTACTGCCCAATGTGACCTACTATAACAACTATTTGTCTCACAAAGGGATCCAAAACTTGCTTCAGATTTCGTATTGACTAAGGATACCCCCTCGATCATTTGACTGGTTGTTATATATTTCATCAGGATCACCAACCTTTCTTCCAACTTTTTCTGCCAAAATCCGGGCAGAATAACTATCTCCTACTCTTCTATAAGCAAGAACATATATGCCACGTTTACGAAAGACCAAAAACATTTAGAAGAATGAAAGGAAGATCGAAACCAAAAAACTACAAAATAAACTATTCTAAATATAATTCTATTATAAATGGACCAGCAAAAAAAGTAAAAAAGAAAAGTCGGCGATCCCAACGAGAAAAAAGAAAAAAGCACTATTATAACCCGTGCCAGGCGAGTATAAAAATTATATGCTTATAGCAACATTGCATATCTCTATTGTAAGGCTTCGCCTATACTATTAATTCCTCTCCAACCCTACTATCTCCGGAAGTCTTCGCCTGGGTTCTTCTAATCAGGTACTGTCATCGTTCCACGCTGACTCTTCAGTTTTTAGCGGCCCCGAGCCAAAACCGGTAGCACCATGTCCGCTTATCAGATACGTGATCGCCGTCTACCACGTCAACCGGATATGCTATGCCGATCATTTGGAGGGGGTAAGCCAAATCCCCACTTTTTGTCGAAATTTTTGGAAGATTGGCAGCAACGAGAGAGTGTAATACAGGAGACAAAATCCCCACTTTTGTCGAAATTTTTGGAAGATTGGCAGCAACGAGAGAGTGTAATACAGGAGACCACTTGTATAGGATAAAAGAGTGTGGCTTGAAATCAAAAAGTTTCAAAGTTTACTGTACCCCTGGGTTTTCAAGGAGTCATAAAGGCTTCGCTAACAAAATTTCTTCTACCAAAATTTATATGCAAAAGCAAGTACCGCATGTATTTTCCTCCTTTGCGTCTATGCTTTTGGCTTGCATATTAGATATAGAGAGGAGTTCTGAAGCAGTCGTTGACCTCTCTAAAAACAACCAAGACCCTCTCGAACTATAGTTTACAAAACTTCGTCGACGGTAATAAAAATACCACCAGAATTATACTTCACTTCGTGCAGGGCGCCACCTGCTCGCGAAATATTATCGCTTCACCCTTTACAAATCCGGTTTTCAGCTTCTGGCTTGCATGCCGAACGTAGCAAGGAGTCCACTTGACCTCACTACAAACTGGCCTTTTGCTACACGACTCTCCAGTAAACTTTTTCTACTTTTCTTTTCTGTGAGGGGGGTGGTCCAAGTGATCGTCGGGGAGAGTGTATTGTTTATTCCTGTTTGCAATATATATTATATTATAATTTTTTCTCAACTCTCCTTTTATTTTCTTTATAATTCAATAATTTATTACTTTTAAATATAATACTTAACTTTTCTTTATTCATAATGTTTTAACTCTTTTAACACTAATATTACTTTTCTTTATATATCTACTTTTTATTTACTTTTTTCCTATCTTTTATATTACTCTTTTTTCTTTCTCTTCTCTATCTTTACTAAATTTATATTAAACTATCTTACCTATAAAATTTTTAAATATCTTTTCTTCTTCTATTTTAAACAAACCTTATTTTCTTTTTTTTTTTGCCTTTATTAAATTTATATTACTTTATCTAACAATTAACAACTCAGATATTTCTTTTTATTTTTTATTACTATATACAACTTTATTTCTATTCTATATAATTTCATACTACAAACATATTTATATAATGTAAATATAAAACAATCTATTTAATAAAGCCTGTTGGGAGTACATCTAAGATCTGGAGATGATGACATTAAAGATCTGGTTTTCCAGGTCCAGGTGGTCCCAAAGTATCAGCCACCCCTGATGAAATCCTTACCATTACCTCACTTAGTGAACGCAGAGAGGCTATAACCAAAGCAACCCTTCACCATTTCCATACATGTAAAGCTGATAAGGAAAACCCATGTACAATTCTTAATACCAATACTACAAATGCTGAATTTATCAACCAGCACACCTATTAAACTATTTATCAACACTTCTACAAATACTCTCTTACTTTATATCCTGCTCCTACTTTAACCTCTTCTCCATCTAACCAATCCTCTCCTGTCAATCAACCTATATTAGACTTTACAATCTTTACTAAAGATGGAACTTATCCTGCCACTTTCTTCAAGTCTTTTCCTACTCAAACCTTTTCTGACTTAGCAAATAAAGCAGAAAACTTTTATATTAAAAACAACAATGCTGAATCTAATATTAATTGCAACACCTTCTACTTTTACTCCTACTTTAATGCATATCTCAAAGCAGCAGCTAAAAATGACAACATTCTTAATCTCTCCAATAATGAAACTATTCATAAACTTATTAGATCAACTACAGATGCTACATTCATTGGCAGAGTCATCTCCTATTTTGAAATACTTAAAAATCCTAAACAAACCTTTTTCCAAATCCATTCCAAATACAATGAAGAGTTCTTGCCACAGGCTGAACAACTTATTATTGAATACTATAATATTACCAAACCTACCTTTACTAATTCACTCTTTCTTAACTATTCTCACCAAAAACCTTTGAACACCCAAGAACCTGAACAGATCCTTGAAAAAAATCAATCTTTTTAATTAGGTCTTCTACAAAAAACATAGAAGCAGCTGCCGCCTCTGATGTTCTCCACATTTCGTGGACCATTTTCAGAGGAGAATGATGTAAGTAGGCAGGCAAGAAAGCCTATTTACATGGAAGAGCCAATAATCAACGGTTAGACTCAATGTACAGAGCAGACTTTGGCCTCTTGCACAGCCGTGAAAACTGGGCATACGGCTAGTGCTTTTGTAGAAGACATTTCCTCCTCCTCAATTACCAATTCACCCCACCCTATTGAGAAAACATGCTTTAATAAATTTCTTTACAAATATAAACTTCCTCCGCTCCTATCACCTCAAACTCTCAAATCATTTTTACAACATCTCCTTAAAAACTCTTTTTTCCAACTATACAAAATTTCTGTTAATATCATAACTCTTGAGACCCATGTTTATCTTGATACTACTGATGCTATCTTACAAGGCCATATCACACTTTCTCCTCAACAGTACTCTGTTTATTATAAATCTCCTATAAGATCTACTTGCTCCTCTAGCAGCTCATCTACCCAACTTACACAACACAGCTCCTGCAATCTACACCTCACTATTGCTACCCACAATGTCAGAGACTTTAATGTCACCTCTAAGAGGCAAATCTGGCAAGACTATTGTATTAACCATGACATTTTTATTGCCAGTATTACAGAAACCAAGATCTCAAACAAAACTAAACTCTCCTTTTGCAACAATGACCTTTTTACCTACTACTGGGCCAACTCAGACAGCTTTATAGAGGGAGCAGCTATTATGGTTCGCAACCATCTTAAGCCCCATGTCCATAGCTGTCTAACACATCCTGGTGGAGCTATTGCACTAGACTTATTCTTTAAAAGTAATATCAAACTCCGGATAATCTCTGTCTACCTTTCTTCAACAGATTCTACCAGACATAATCTTACTCAAAACACAGTTATCAAGTGGATTACACAAGCTCAATAGCATAATCTACAACCCATTATTTTGGGTGATTTCAATACACAAGACACCACCTTTAGCTCTTCTTCTAAGTTCAAACTTATTAACTTTCTACATCGCTCTAATATGTTTGATATTGGAGCACATTTTAATCATACACACCCTACCTGGTCTAATAGAATACAATCTAGTAGAATTGACTATATCTGGACAAATACTTTTAATATACAATTCCTCTTTGATTATAATCTTGATAATAGCAAAACCAGTACCCTTAGTAATCACCTCATTCTCTCAACCTCATGGACTTTCTCTAATGCTTATAGCAAACCTCCTCGCCTCCGTACCAATATTAGCCGTAGAATAAAGCAACCTCCAATGATCAATGGTCTAAATTTTCTGAGCTTACCACACAACTAACCAGAAGAAGTAATATTTCTCTTACCCTTGATGGTTTTGAAAGTATTGACACTTCTTGGTACAAGCTCCAACACTGTATAATACAGGCTGCAATTAAAACTATCCCTAACAAAATTTCTCGTAAACGAAGTTACAATCATCAATACAGCTCTAAATGTACTATACTCCATCTTGGTCTTAAGAAACTCGGCCACCTAAT